AGGGGGTAAATTGAGACAGTGCTCCTTCATGGCTTTCACCTGGTTAAAACACAAATCTTTCCAAATTTGTTCAACATTTGTGTGTTCTACAGCATAGCTTTTTCAACATCTTTCCTCCAATCTAAAGAAAAGAAAAGAAATTTGCTCATTACTTAAAACTTTAATCCTGTATGCAGTTTTAAAATTTTGTGACCATGTCTAAGATCCTCAGGATAAGAAATACTATCCTAGAACACTGAAGATTCCGTAAGTCCTGGAAACAGGTGAAAATAATGTGTGTACAAAGACTCTGTAAACTTATGCTAAGTCATGACTCCTCTGCCAAGTTACGTCTTTGCTGGATCAAAGAAAAATATACATGATAAGATGTTTGAAGAAAGAATAGCACATTACTGATGCATATTATGCCATTCCTAGTCAAACAATGTTAAATAATTAATTACACAAAGAACCATATATTTTAAACTACTAAAAATGCTTATAACTTATTTAGTAAGTGATGTCCATGCTTTTCATTTCATATAAAGTTCAACAGCTGGCTGACCGCTACCACATATCTTCATCACCCTCAATACATACATTTGGAAGAGTTAAAGGTAATCAATACTCAGGGTTTGGATTTTTTAAATATGGCATTACTGAGAAGTTGTCCTTCCATATGAGCTCCCTTCTAAACTTCTTTTTATGATGGAATAGTAAAAATAAGCTCATAGTCACAGTGCGTAGTCTGCACTTTCACTGCAGATTCAGTGATTTGTTTTTTAGCCTCCCTCTATGGAAGTCTTCATAGCAAAAGCAACAAATGACTTAGATACCTGAAAACAGCTGCCAGAAGAAAACTGATTTTCATTTCATTTTGAGAGGGGTGGACTGGTCTGTGTGGGCAAGCAAAACATTCTCCTACAGATAGCTAGATATTAATGGAATGTCAGGCTTTAGGTGTGTTGTGATAGACTGGGTATTAGAGGAATTATGTGAACACAACGTCCCCTCCTTTCTCTGTCAGTAGTCTTCACTCTCTGCTGGAGTCTGATTGAACAAGAAAATAAAAGCAACCAAATAAGGCTATAAAACCTTCGGAGTTGCAGATGTGAATGCAATACAAACAAAACGAACTGTGAATCTGTTAGGTTTCTACTAAGACAATGACCTGTTTCTTTAAAAATTACTTAATCTCATATTTCACTAGTATGACTATTGTAATATTTTTAATAACTTATCAAATATCAGTACTTAAATAAGTGCCATATTTCTCTGGCTTAGAACAGAGAAAGGCTTTGTTTTCCTACCATTTTAAATGGTTTTAAATTATGGCATAATTCTTTTATCATATAGCTCACAAGCAATACCATAAAACTAGGGCCTCTGATTTCTTCAGACTTCTCTGAAAGAAGACTGCAAATCGTTGCAAATAGAATTCAATAATCGGGTTTACTATTTTTAATTTCATATTGTTTTCTTCAGTAAATAATTTCTGTGCTGCACACTGTTCATGACATGTGAACACTTTCAACTGGCTATAAATGGGAATTGTCTCTAATTTGGTAGCAACATCCATTAATGCTCCCTCTTTTCCTGAACAGGTCACACCATTTTATCATTTTATTCATTTAGTGAACCAGCCAAATCCAACTTTCAAGAGTCCTTTCAATCTATAGAGGGAATGGAAGTGAAAAAGAAACTTTAGAATTATGATTAAAAGCACAAATATACAGCTAAGGCTGCAGAAGGAGAATGGACAGGTAAGGGTGGTACCTACAATCTGGTAGGGGTGTCTAACTGCTTTCAGATACCTAAGGGATGATTACAGAGAAGATGGAGCCAGACTCTTACCAGAATTGCATAGCAAAGCCCAAGAGGCAATAAACACAAATTGCAGCAATTGGGGAAAAAAAAAAAAAAAAAAAAAAAAAAATGCAGGTAGTCAATGCTGGCACAGGTGGGTTTTCCAGAGTGGTTGTGGGATCTTTGGAGGTATTCATATCTTGCCTGGACAAGGCTCTTAACAGACTGATATAATTTCAGTTAACTGAGCTCCTTAAGCAAGAGATTGGACCAGATGACCTCATAGGTCCCTTCCAGCATAAACAGCTCTGCTTCTGTAATTAATGTAAGTGATAAGCTAGCATTGACACCATGTTGAGGCCTACTCCCTTCATTTTAAAGATTTATAAATGAATATGTGAAATTATGGGTTCTTATATTCTTTTTTAACCAGCTCATAGCAGCACAGACTATAACATGTTACAAACAAATTAGTGAAACGGCTCGCTCTTAATTACTGTCAGCTCGGCATCCAGGGCTTGCCTACTAATTATTGCTATGACCTTGTTGCCAGCTAGAACTGTTTAGCAAATGAGTTCATTTGTATGAGTCACAACTCCAATTGGAGACTACCCGTACTAAGTTACGACCTGTATTCCATGCGTGTGAGCACATATACAAGACTGTCACATGCAAAGTCCTAGTAAAAGAACTGAAATGTAAATGTTCAGTTTATAACTTTTCAGCATATAACAAAAACAGAAAAAAAATGTTGTCATTTCAGCATGTAACAAAAACCACAACTTTTACTTCTTTGGTTAATCACTTCACCATTAAGGCATAAATTTTGAATTTAAAATGCAGGAACATCTTTGGGTAATAGTGTTTATCTTTTACTAGTGATATACAATGTCAATGATACAAATAATTAAATGATGCAAAATATGACAGAGGAATCCAAAGACTATCAGATTCGCAACAGAAAATGTCAGATGAGGGATAAAACAGGAATAAACTAGTATTGTTTCATGCATCGTGGATGATTGTAATGAGTTAACCTTGACTGGCTGCCAGATGCCCGTTCAGTTGCTTCATGAAATATCCACCAGCACCAGCATGAGGTCCTCCTTGGCTGCAGTGTGGACAACTGCATCATCATGGTCTCTTCACAGACTGCATGGAAATACGTGCCCCAGCATGGGTCCTCTCCACAGGCTGGAGGGAACCCTGCTGTGGTGCCTGGATCACCTCCTTACCATCTCCCATTGGTGGTGGCAGGGCTGTTCCTCACTTTTTTCCACTGGGCAGCATTTTGCCCTTTCTTACACAGGCTTTTCCTGGGACACCGCCACCGTGGCTGCAGGGCTCAGCCGTGCCCTGCGTGGGTCGGTGCCTGGGCACCAGGTGCAACTGTCATATAGTTATATAATTCTGCTTGATGTGGAGTAACATAACATGTGTAACTGACCACAGTGAGGTGTTTAGAAGTATTCTGAATTTTTATGATAGAATAAATGTTCAGAAGAAATACAGAAACTTAAAACCCTTCTAATGAAGTATATTAAAATTATTGTTGAATAACCATAAATAGTTACAGTGATACTGCTGTGACACAGTTCAGCAAAGTGTTCAGCAGTTCACATTTAATCTGCTCTTATACACATGTAAATATATATATAAAAAGATACATCTATATTCCTATATGGGTGTGTGTCACAATATACATACAAAAGCAATTCTTACTCTAATTCATCTGGCATGATGACTCAAAGATCTCATTTATTTACTGGATATAGATTGAGTTTACTCTTGCTCTAAAAGGGCAATAGGATTAAGTTGTCCTGAATGTTGCTTTTAAAACTTTTAGGTCAATCATTATTTATTTTTAGTAATGGGAAATATTACTGAACTTCGTTCGTTGTGCTATGATAACAAGTAAATCAAGAATACTACTGTCAGGCTATGATTTTGATTGTGATTTAGAGTGCTTTAAATCTCATCAGTGGTGTTGCAGATGCTTTCAAATATCTGAGTACTTAAAGACTGGGCAAAGAACACTTAAGTCATCCAAGGTCTTGAATTTCAAGTCTTTCGAATTTCTTCCTAGTTTTTATTATTCTATTTGTCAACTTGCAGGTAGCTACAGCCTCCTTTTTCTGAATATTTACTCAGAGAAGTTTCCTTTTCCTTTTAAATGTGAGAATATGACTGGTTTGCTCAGATTCTGCAGTTCCATAAGGAGAGTTTAGGAAGGTCATACCATAAATCTGGGTTTAGGACCTCTAATCTAGAGTGAAAAACAACAGCTCAGAGGACATAGAATATAAAATCAGTATAACTTTATTCAAAAGTTATAAAAGATTAGATTTGTAACAAAAACTTTGGGACATCTGGATTTAGAACCTCTGACCTAGAGTTAAAAACAATAACTCACAGGACATAGAATATGAAGTCAGTATGACTTTGCTTGATTAATTTACTCTTGCTTGATTAAGGATGGAACACTTGCCATCCACAATCCGTTATTAAGGACTTGCATCCCATAGCACACATATGCCTGTCAATAAAACAAATATTTCATCATGTCTTCTCTGGTTAGTTCTCCAGATATGTGGTCAAAGAACCACTCCCTACACAGATTATGTTTGGACCACTGAATTATTGTTCGGTGTTGAACACATTGCTGCACAGTACTAAACAACTAATTTGTCCACATTTCCTATCTATATAAAATTACTTCTGAATAAACTTTTTAAGCACAATGATGAAAGATATGGCTTTGACTGTTGTCATCAAGACTGCACTTGTGAAGAATTACCAAAAAACCTAGATAAGCATGAAATCCAACAGCATTATATCCAACAACAGTATTGTATATTATTTTTCACTTTAAAATTATACCAAATTACAAGAAATAGTGCAAATCCAATGACCCACCTTACATTTCTGTAGTTTTGTTTATTCTTTATATGAGACATGATCAAGTGTCTGGTTTAGTTTGATTTTGAAGAGATTTATTTTGTTCATATTTGCATATCTTCTGCATGAATATGACTGTTCAGGAACGTTGTAAAAACCTATGTCAATGAAGTTTTATGGTGTAATTAATTTACAAGCATCTCCTATAAATATCTGTTCATGTGGGTTATTATGGTCCTTTTCAGGGTGTGTCTTTTGTCAGTCCTTAGGTCAGACAAACTTGAGAGAGAGAAATGAAGCTGAAAAAATCATCCGATATGAAATATGCTCCTTTTAGTTACTATGAAATTTTGTTTGCTTCTCTGCTTGGAATTATTGTGTGTGTTTGTGTTGGACTGATTGTACTTTCGTGGTTATCAATCCAGGAGTTAGAACGAGGTAAGTAGCCAACCTTTAGCCTTTTCAGGAGTTCCTCAGTAGACATGCAGACTTTGAAGACAGTGGTGTTGTCATTGTAATTATATTTCATATTTCATGCTATCCTTTTAATGCTTGGGGCAGGGGGGATTCGAGGGGCTTTATTTTTATGTTTTCCTCCTCTCCTCCCCTGGAAAACGTTGTGAAAAAAATAGGCAAAAACATTAGCACTTGAAGCATGTCCTGAGGCCACAGAAATTAATTTTCATGGTTTAGACTTTGGGAGAGATCCCTGTAATGCAATCCAAGCTTTTAAAGTGTTGTTTATTCAACTGTTTTCACTGACTAGAGAAGGTAATATGGCAAATTGTGAATTTTTGTTTTTTTCTCCATGTATGAATTTTGACTCAGAAAGACATTGATAATCCACCGATGTCTGTGGGAGCTTTAGGTGTTCTATACCTCTTGGGATCTATTAATTTTTATTTAATATTTTTTTAATTGCATAGTAAAAATTATTATTTTAAGATGCTCCAAATATTTATTTCTTATTATTTATTGGTGTGAGAGAGATCCTATATTAGTCAGACAGCTCCCAGCCCTATGTATAGTTAACATAAATTAATTCCTAATATTCAGCCAATGCTCAGAATGTGATAAAGCTACAGATACTCAAAGTGAAGTAAAGTAAAAAAAAAAGAAAAAAAAAACCAACTATGTAGGATGATTTTCAAATGTAACTGACATTTTAATTTAAAGATCTTGTGGATACATATTAACTGTCCCCTGGTAACGCCACACCTGGAGTACTGTGCTTCTCAGAGATTCTAAAATTTTGATTGGAAGGAAATGTATTTAGGACTGTGGAGCCCTTACAGTTAACACAAAAAGATGTTTTGAAATGGGGTGAAGGACACAGGTTAGGCAAAAGATGCAAGAAATATTTTTTTTTTCCTTATAGTGATTTTTGTAGCTGAAAAAATAATTGTGATACATTGCAGATTTTGGTGCCTTCATTAACCAAAACTCCATACTATAGCATACCAATTCACATGAAGACTAAGCTAGCTGTAAACCATATTTTTTTAAAAAAACTGTTTTGTCAGTTGCAGTTTTCACTCAAAATTTTAAAACTTGTTCTCCCCACAGACTTTATTACCCTTTTGCAGAATACTATCACATTCCAGTAAAATAAAATTATTTTAAAGGTAGTGATGTTCTGATATTTCATCTAGGAAAAGGCTTCAAATGAATGACTTAGTTTTTAGACCTAAGTCATAAATAGGAAATAATTAAATTTTTCCTATTTAATATTTAATAGGAAATAATTAAATAGGAAATAATTTAATCATGTACAAATAAGAATTGTAAAAAACCTTTAAAGTTATACTCGACATATATAACAAAACAATCACCTTTGCTATTTAGAAACATTTGTTTAAACAAGTTTGCAATCTTCGTAAGGATAACTGGTCTCCAAAGAAGCTCAGGGGAGTTTGCTGTTACTAGTTGACAACAGGAAATTGGTGCATTAGGCTATGCCTTCCATCACAAGCTGTTTATTAAGAGTATTAATTAGTTATCTCCTTTTGTGTTAAAATTTGTTTTGGATGGTAAAGCCTTCAGACACAACCTAAAAATATCACTGGTACTGTAACTGGTAAGCCAAAGGCACATTCTGTCAATCAGTTACATTAATTCAGGTCTTCTCTGAAAATTTCCAGTCAGGAAATATTTTTGAATTATAATTAATTGCTTTATTGTGTATCTCATATGCTGTAACATATTAAAAATTAAGATTAAATTTTCACTAAGCACATTATCAAGTTTCTTTATAAATCTTCACAGTATTTCATGCATGTATTGTTAAGAAATGTCAGTTCAAAAACAGTTTGACTAGGCTTGACACTAGTGTTTCCAGTGCTGTCATCAAACCCAGCATGTGTTTATAAAAAGTGCACAGCACTTAATACAGAAAGTGTGAAGCAGTAATTCCTAATATTTTCAATCCAAAACACACAAACCCCTTCCCATTCACTATTGTTCTTCACATGTATCTTTGTCCATTGTGTTAGACATAACTGGACATACCTTGTCCCCTTTATCCATTCACAGTGCAGCTAGAAAGCAAACTTAAAAGTGATGAGAATCAAGGACAAAATACTATTCGTGAAAATATGACTACTGTTGTAACTGTTGTAAACACTGAAAAATGTCTATCACTTTCTTGCTATCAATACTAAGTAAAACATCTCTGATTACAAAGCAAAACAAAGATAAAAGTTATTGTATTGATGATCTGTGAGGAAGAAAATTTAATATGATGTTTTTCACTTATTTACACATAATTCAAAACATTTCATTTTATTATTAATTATCTAGCTGAAGCACATGGGAATACTCATGGCTACATGGGAACATTTAAAATACTCTCTGGGACATCATTCACTCCTGCTTTGCAAAACAGATCATCAGCTGATTTCAAAGTCCTTGCCTTTGATGTTGAACAACTGGTAAGAAACTATTGATTTCTGGTTAATTCAAGAATATTTGACAGGTACATTAATTCTCTAACATGACCTGCTTTTGATGTCTTTTTCCTGTGTCCAAAATGTGATATTTCAGGTCCTAAGTCTGATCAGAATTCAATATATTCCTTATTTGTGAAAATCAGTGAAGCATCAGAGAAAACTTTGCTTCTCTACTCTAATTTTGGGAAGGAAAAATTATTGAGTATTAAAGCTATGAATACAATGTACAACTGGGTGTTATTTTAATTACTCTATTAGTTTAAGATTTTCCTTTTCCAAACAGGTAGAAAAAGTCTTTCAAACAAGTGATCTGAAAAATGAATTTGAGAGATGTGAAATTTCCCAGTTCAGGTATGTACAGTTTACTTAAACTTTACTAATAAACACCAAAAGTCCCCAGTTAGCTTTGTCTCAGGAATGCTTACCAATACCTTTCTTTTCAAGAGATCCTTGAGAACACCCTATATTATTCCTTTTGTGTCTTATGTCTTCCATGTGCTTTTGTGGGAGATCAGATACCAATTTGTTCCCTTGGGCAAACTGACTTCTTGGACTCCTGTAGTTCCACGTTTTGATGGCATAGCCCTAAAACCAATTCACAAAACTTCTGTATCTTAAAGAATTGCTGAAGTATTATTTTTCCCAGAGGTTTGTTAATTGTGCGATGTTTGCAGGGTTGTTGGCCTTTGGCAATGGGAAGAAAATTAATGTTAGAGATCTGCTGACATAAGCTGAGATGAATGGAAATACACTCATATAGCCCTATGGACATGGATCCACTTAACTTATATTCCTTAGGGTGTTAGCAAGTGAGGCTGTCGTTTGACACCAGGTAAAGCTGCATCCTCTATGTCCTAGAGAGTGCAAAAAATAGGTACAGTAAGAACTGCTTCATTTATTAATGCTTGACTGACTTCATTTTTCAGTATCCTATTATGTTGGTTGCCCTACTGAAGGCTAGCTGGCAAAAAAAAGTGCAATATATGCAGTGAGGTCTACAGTGTTAATTCCAGCTGCACCATTCTTAATAAGGTCCTGATTCAGCAAAACATGCAATTTTGTTTCCTGTAATTAAACAGTTTCAGAACACACTTCCATCCTATCTGCAGCATTATAAACTCAAGGGGAGTAATATGCTTTTGTGAGGCATTTGGATTTATTGTTGGCTTTTTTTCTGCAGGAAATCTGAAGGTGGTCATGAAATATTCAAGACATCAGAGAATGGGTAATTGCATGTGACAAAGTTTATGTAAAATATGGGCAAGAGACAATGATGCGATTAATTTAGAAAGTTCTGTGGACAGTGAATAGATGAAAAAATACATATTTAGAGGTTGGATAAGGCCCTTTAAGGACCATATGAAGCTTCAAAACATATCTTTCCTCCAAAAACATCCTTAATGATTACAAGAGAAAAAGAGTGCAATAGTGCTTGGGACTGTCAATTTAGAAAGATAACAACAGTGAAGTAGGTAAGAAACTAGCTAAACGGAAAGTATATAAATTTGTGCTGAACTTGATTGTAGAAAGCTGCTTAGATTGAGGGGCAGATCTTACATTATCAGTAGTAACTTAAGTTTTAAATAAAGAAAGGCCCGATGGCACATTATAAAAGGCAAGAAAAAAACAAAGGATGAAAAATTAAGAAGACCTTGAGAAATTAATGATATAATTACTTATCCTATAGGTGGGACCACAAAATTAAGAAGTGCATATTACATGACAACAGAAGATACAGTTCTGTGATTCTGTGATACCAGCTGTTCCTGCAATATAAATGTTTTCTCTAAATATATAAAGTAGATGAACATTCAGAGGAGATAGGTAATTTGAATGACTGTGCTTGCAGAAAAAAAAAAAAGGAAAAAAAAAAGAAAAAAAAGAAAAAAGAAAAAACGAAAAAAAAAAAAAAAAACCAAAAAAAACCAAAAAAACAACAACAA